GTGCAAGAGGCATCCTTAACCATCCATTAACGTATAGGCAGCATTAGGATGGAGTCACACATTGACAAGAAAGAGAGAGACAAAAAGCTAAACAGGCTGGTCTGGTTCCTGGCTGTCCCTGGGGAGAAAAGGGAGTGTCAGAGGCCCTGTAGCTGTACCTGACTATCAGTGGGAGACCGGCTGGATGACAAGGGCAAACGATTGTTTAACTGTGTGTGTGTCTGTGTGTGCGCACATTGGGTGCGTGCGGGTGGCAGTGGAGGTAAAGTATTCACCACCTGCAGTCGATACTTATCTGTCACCAATGATTACTAATACTCGTACAATAACTATCCAGCATATAGCAAACAACACAGTTACACATAGTTTCCTTCACCTACATTATTCTCACTCAGCTGGATTATACTGTATACAGTCAACCTAAAATCCAAATTCTTAACTTCAAGAACCTGATTCCAGAAACAAAGGCAAAACGTTGCTTTTTAGGTAATTGAGTTTTCTTATTCTGTACGAACCACAATAGCAGTATAAGATGAAACAATTCATGGGCAGGACTTGAACCTCTTATCTAACACAGGATAAAATATGGTAAAACACTTCTTCTTTCTTAGAATGTCCAGACATTCAAACACTAAATGCTATACAATCAAGTTCTCCTTTTTTATAAAAAAGGCATTCTGTGATCAAGCAGAATACGGTATACAAACAGTTTGTTGTGCTAAGTTTAGCTTTGACAATCCGTCAAATGCAAGACCATCAAACCATTTGCATGCTCCACAAATTCATCAAACTGATTTTCTGAGTTTGCCTTTTTATAAAGTCTTCTCAGACTATCATGCGGCTATGAGCCAAGATAAACTTGTTATGAATGTATCCCCTTTTGTAAACTTGACTTGACTTGTTCCAAAAACAAGATTTCAACTCTTGGTCTTGTTAATGCATTAGAATGGATGTGAAAGTGACTAAGTGTGAAAAAGAAACGTTTGGCCTTCTTCCAAGCAAAACTTACTGATCCTGATGATCCTGTTCTGGGATTTACTGGGGCAATAATCACTGTGTGAGCATATGTGGTTGTTTCACTAAAGCCTTTCATCTGACTGCATCCACCAACTGTCCCCACAGGCTTTGAAACAGCAGACACTTAACTCCTTGTAGCTAGTAGAATACATTTAAATAATCAGGTAAGATTTTCTTTTTTGTAGATTACTGAGTAAAACCTTCACAAAGCAACCGCAATTTTTAAGACGGATACTGTATGTTTCCAATGCCACAGTTTGCAAAGAAGAAACACTTATCCCAATACCCACATTGCGATTGAGCCTTGCCTTCGACAGCTGTATCCTGGCAACACGGAGCAGACCTGAACGTCCTTGCTATTCAGCTCCTTGCATCTTTACAGCTGTCTATCCAGGGTGGCAGAGTGGAATACATAGAGTGGTCAGATGAGGATACACTCAAAACCGTTGCTACGACAAAAGCAGTGATGAAAAATCATACGAAGGCAGTTTGGGCATAATTAAAGTCCTCTTTGAGACACAGTGCAGTAGAGTCTGCTAATTATCCGAGTTTTCCACAATCACACAAACTCAAGCGGTAATATCACAATCAATTAAGAGAGTTGCCTAATGGCAGACATCATTATGAATAAGGCATTATGTCACTCTTAACACCCACATTGTCACCTGGCCTTAAGGGTGTAATTCTACTCTTCTACCTTTTATCATCAGACAGTGCACAATGCCAGGACAATTGCTGAACAACATGTGTTTAGGCTTGCAACTTAAAGAGGGAGTGAAATTTGACAGCATTTCATACCGCATTTTCAACAGATGATATGATGCAGTCCTTCTTTTGTAACAGAGCCTCAATAGAAAATGATGTTAGGCAACTTGCAGAATGACAACAGCTTTTATCGGTGAAGAGTATCTCCCTGTGAAAAACATGGCCCAGCTCGCCTCCATGTATCTCACAACCTGTGGGAAACCAGCTTCCCTTTTTCTCCTTAGCTGCCTTGTCTTGCTTAGTTTCCCCTTTTCTTACTTTGCAGCTTCACAGTGACATTACCAGAGCTAATCTGAGGCCTCGGGTCAATAGACTAAAAGGAACAAGCAACACTTCTGGAGAAGTGCAATATATCTCAACAAGTGTGATATGGTACAACACGCTGCAATAAGGCATTGTTATACAAAACTCTTACCGTGGATACTCTTGCTATCCAATCTAAGTGTTCATCCTAATCCTTTTTTTCCAAATATTGTTTGGGACCAGACTTTATTTGTAGTTTCTCTTTGTGTTTTTGAGTAAGATATTTTGAATGCATTGTTTTGTAATTTCATGCTTTGTAGTTTTCTCCTCATTAAGACAAAGCAAAATACAATGATCAGACTGTATGATCTTGTGAAGAAACTAGAGCATATCAATTATACATATACAGTGGGGCAAAAAAGTATTTAGTTAGCCACCAATTGTGCAAGTTCTGCTGGGAAGACTGAATCTGCAATAGGTAAGCAGCTTGGTGTGAAAAAATCAACTGTGGGAGCAATTATTAGAAAATGAAAGACATACAAGACCACTGATAATCTCCCTCGATATGGGGCTCCACGCAAGATCTCACCCCGTGGGGTCAAAATGATCACAAGAACGGTGAGCAAAAATCCCAGAACCACACGGGGGGACCTAGTCAATGACCTGCAGAGAGCTGGGACCAAAGTAACAAAGGCTACCATCAGTAACACACTACGCCGNTCAAAATTAAGAAACTGTATTTATTCCAGTTTTTTTATTGGGGTGAAACTTATACGGCTAGTCAAAGTTACACACAGAATCATTTGTCGCCAACGTTGTTCAACAGATTTTACTCCGACGATTGCAGTAGTACGTCTTGTAATCGGCGGAAACGAATCGCCACACCTAGACGTCGTTACCATTGCATACTAGCATCGTGCAATATCGGATTGTTATCGAAATCGAAGGCACTAAAGTTAATGCAAGTTAGTATTATTACTCTATATATAGGAACGACTTGTTTTGTACAATCATAATATTTCCACACAACGATTATAAGATTAAACAGATCGTTGTTGTGACGGTTCTTTAGGTTGACCTTTTTAGAGTGAACGAAAAACCGCTCCCTAGGAACGCTAAGATTGAAGACGCAGCTGGATGTTTTTATGTAGCTTTATGGTTAGATGGTTTCGTTACGAAAAAATATTTTACTCATCTTAGATGAAAAGTGGACGCCCTACTTTTGAGGTTTGGTGAGCCCACCACTCAGCCTACCCTCTTCGGAACACTAGACAACTCTCAGTCTTTCCAACTTATAGTATACACTAGAGTGCATTCTTGTAACTACTAACACTTAGTCCTCCAAATCCCGAGTGGTACAGGCAGTCACTACATGTCCGACTCCCGAAGGTCGACACAACCTGCTTACAGAGCAGTACTACAACGACCACTTCCTCCTATTGCGGCTACATGTTGTACAACAACTAGACCCCGATAACATATATAAACTGACGCCCACATTTCCTCCAGGACTACGAAGGGTACAACATCTTAAAGTGGGATTTTCTGTTTCTTTTCCTTGTAAACGTTCATTGGTACTGACAGATTAAAGAATTATTGGTTGACGTCTCCACCCTCCCTCCCATCAATGTCTTATGAAAGCAATGACCATGAATGCCTCAATAAAAACCGCACGCCCCCCAATGAGTCCTGAAAAATGAGTAATCGACTAAAAAGACTCGTGCCTCGCGCGACAATGAAACATGAGGAATGAAAGTTTGTGTTGTTATAGGACATGAAACGACTGAAGAATGTGACCAACTTGTGTTATGGACATGAAATGATGAAGAGTGTAAAAAGGTTTGTCCGACCAAGGGAAATCAGACTTCACACCCAAACAACCACCCACTAGATAATATAAATCTCCAGTAACCACGCGATAACTAAACTTGTGCTAGGCACATAGTAGTAAGGCCCAGAAGAGATTTCTTCTCCCTGGTTACTTTTGAAGTACAACGGCAACAAGCGTACCTTTGTATAGTAATCGACCTTGTCCCCCTACTGATAATAACAAGAAATAATTAGATATTTCCCTTCCAGTCCATGAGAAATTTTTCGACGATCAATCCCATGAAAATTACTTCATGTAAAGTTTGGGTTGAAGAATATGAAAATGAACTCATTTCTTCAAATCAGTCATGAAGATGAAATGGTCTCATAAAATTTGTACCATAGACATGAAGATGACGTCATTTCCATACACACATGAAAGCGTAGGAGCGGGTTCGACTCGAGGTCATGTTTCGGAATTATGTTAGGTGCTCGTTTGTTGTTCGTAGGCCCTACAAAGAGTGGAAGTTCGGTCTTCAGATACCTACTAAACAACTGTGACGTCCGCTACGGTGCGTCCTTATCCGCTAGCGCGCTTTGCACACGCCTCTTAAAGGTGGGGTATGTAATTTTGGAGAAACCAGCTCGAGTGTGCTAGAATTTGAAAATACACAGCCGGAAAAAATCTGGCACTTCCTTACAGAGCCCCTCCTACAACACACACGAACGAGCACATGACCAATGAGGGCACGAGATAAGTTTGTGCACAGATGGAAGGCTGACAGGCAGGTAGGCCATCCAGTTACTTTAGCCGGGCCGGCTCAGATGATTGGTCATGCTTTTTAAAGTGCTACAGCTTCCACAGATGACATTTTTTTATGGATTTTTTGTCAAAGCACTTCAGATATTCATTGATCGGGATGTTAAGAGCATTCCATGGAATATAACTAAAAGTGTATCTCGAGCCGGTCTCTCAAACTTACCTACCCCACCTTTTAAGCTTGTGTTTACAACAGACCTTATTTCAGGCATCAAACCATTCAAAAAAAGTTAAAGTAAAGACGAGGTAACTAGAAGTGGTAAAATAATAACTCATTTCTGGGTTTTAGGGCTCATTTCCGCACCAGTTAATTGTTTTTTTGTCAGCTATATATTTGCTTTTCAGGTTGCTAAGCGTTTCCCAGGTCTGATGATGAAACTTCTGGTGAAGACGGTGAAAACTCCCATCATCACGTTTGAACCCAACAATGCGACAGTTCAGAGCTTGGCCTCGGTGACAGCTTACGCTATCCAACCCAACGCCACACTTACGCCTCTCTTTGTCCTGAACTTGGTGGGTTACACAGCTGGTGTGATAAATAAAAAGCCATTTGTTTGGTTCTACGTTGGGAACTGTCTCACTATATTGTCTTTACAGGACTCCAGTGTCAGCGCCCGAGTGTTTGTCAGTGGAACGAGGTTGGCCGGAGCCGTCACCCTAAACAAGTGAGTAACTAAAAACAAAAAAAAGGGCCCAAAAGGTCTTTGTGAAGACGAGCATGACAGTTTAATTTGCCTCATTTGCACAGAATGGATCTGACCCTGGGGACGAGCTATGTCGGAGACTTTCAGGTGAGAACTCATTCTAACACAAGTCACAGTGTGCACATTCAGTATCAACATAACTAACTAACCCTAACCCTAACCTGCAGGTCAGTTCGCTCGACAACATCTTTCAAATGGTCCTCAAAATGGTGGTGATACCTAGATTGAATGGTGAGATATTGCATTATCCCTTTGTGCTCTATATGAAATACAGAGACCCGACTTGATGAGAGGACTGATAGATTTAACTGTGAATGCAATAAACTGGGACACTGTTTTGCTTTTTGCATTTTAATATTGTCCACTGTACTGCAGGTTAAGTCCTCAGAAACAAAATTAAAATGCCATTTTCATTTGAAAATCGACAGAAAATTGCATTTTATTTTAAATTGTGACTTAAATAATATACTTCAGGAAAAGTAAATAATACTCAAATAATAAAAAATAAATCATAAATATTTAAAATACACATAAATATATGGGAAATGTAAGATTTAGGGTGAGGTTTCTATGGGATTCCATAAAAGACAGAAAAGCAAACTTTTTCATATTCATATTTATTTAATTGTGTTGCATATTGCTAGTGTGCATTTTCATATAAATTATATTGAACCAATTTTAAAGTCATAATTTGTCCCCTTACATTTTTCAGTTACATCTTATGTGTTGCATTTTTTTTTAAAGCAATTTAAGCTTCATTTAATGCATGAAATGTCCAATACACTTAAAACCTAATATAACACTTTTGCTATTATATCACGACCACGTTTTCCACATTAGATTTTTGGGACTAGTTTTTCTAAATGTCTGAATTTTGCTTCATAGCTCAACTTGCAAAGGGATACCCTCTTCCGACACTTGGAAAGATGAAGCTGGTGAACACTCAGCTGCTGGTCCTGAAGGTCAGACTGTTTCCTATAAAGCTGTATTTATTATATGACATGGATTTTTACGAGGGCCAATAGCTTGGAAGAAAACATCTTAAATATCCAGACAATCAACTGAATTATTTGATTTTTAAGCTGTTCTTAATTTTGGTTTATTTCTCTCTAGGACCACCTGATGATTGGGACCGATGTTCAGTTCACGGGTTGAGTGGCATTTCTGGAAGCTTCCAATTCTGCACCATGAAGACACAATCACAGTTCAACTCAACAAACAAATGAATGATGAAGAAATATTACCGTCAAATGCTGATCACCTGTTCGGGATATCAACCCAGGTTTTCATACTGCTTTTCTATTAAATATGAACCTCATATACAATGTAGACAGTGCACAGTCTGCTGGAGAAGGTTTGCATATTTTTTTTAAACAATAAACTCCTTTTAAAGTGGATCAGCACTCTCTGCTGCCAACTTTATGAACAATTTATAACTCAAAGGTTTCTGTTTTTGTTTCAATCAGGAGAGACGGTTTTGATGTAAGAATATATATTTATTGCCTGGAATACACAAATGAATGTAATGGAGTTTTGGCGATTAGGCCCCGTTGTGCAGGGGTCTCATTCGGGAGGGTAAAACCGATCCGATGAAAGACCCCGGGGTCTAGACACTAGTGGTGGTGAATGGATAGTTGGGTTCGGTCTGAAGGGGAGGGGCTTTGCTTGACCCTGGATTCAGAGGGACAGGAGGTGAAAAGGGGTGGAGGGGGGTTGCGTCGAGTCACCTGAAATGACAGCTGTCAGAGGGGGGGAGAGCAGATTTAAAACGGTTAGCGGAGCGCTATGATAGGCTTGTGAGAATAGAGCGAAGTGATTGGTTAAGCTGGGGAGTGACGCCCCCGATCACTTATTGAGAGGAGAGATTAGTAGACAATTTCTACTACTGAACCATACTACAAAACTATAAAAAAAGAAACTCCCGAGACGGGGGAGTTTTGTCAAAATTCAGGACTCTTTCATTTTATTCTGCCACACTTTGATTGTGACGGTCGGTTTTTTCATTGGTGACAAGTAAATTGATCGGTCATCCATTCGTTGAAAGTGACCTAGTATTGACGTCGCTACCATATCAAAAAAATCGACTTATGTACAAAAAATTGGGGATTTGACTACGTCAATCAGTGCAAGAAATTAACTGTTTCGAGCTATCCGTAACTTATACTACAAATTATCATAGTATAATTAAGTGTGTGTGTGTTTGTACGCCTACTCTGTCAATCAATAACCATGAATAACGTCGGTCAGAAGTATCTAAAACCATTGGGGATGACCAGTTCTCACTTTGTTTGGAGTAAGTTGTCAACTAACAAGTTCACTTTTAAGTATATTTAGGTACAGACCATATGAATATATTCATATAAATACCGAAAAATGACTACACGAGTTATTACAGTGATTACAATAACTCAATTTTAATATTTATAATTATAACCGTAGGCCGAAAAGGTTTCAATTTGTAACTAACTATTTACTACGTTAAGTTAGGTGTCGTATATGAAACGGTCCCCTACGTGTGACTTTTAGGAGGACGTAGAACGGGTGGTACTTATAAACAGATCTTAGCGGGGACGGTCCTTCTAGAAGAAATGAGTAAGGTGATGATACT